TACTTTTCTTTCTAGATCGACAACAACAAAGCACCATTTTGGCTAGTAATTGGATGTCTTAGGTTAAAGATTTATGAATTGTTTTTTAAGGGTTGAAAAAATCCAATACCGAATTATTGTAAGATTTATGATTTTCTTCCAAAAAAGACAAAAAATGAATTGTTTTTGGAGAGAGAGATTAGTTTTTGATCCGGAAGATAGATGCGCACGCACACACGGAGAAAACAAATCCAAAGAATGATTTAAATTTTTTTTTTCATTGCTTTAGTCTCCAAATTTGTCGACTTAGACAACTCTAAGATAAATAATTTAAATATCTAAAGGGAACTCATAAATTATACACAAGAATTACAAAAGACTATTAAATACATGGGGTTCGATCGTTCACAACACTTGTGGATCTCAATTTTTTCTTTTGTGCTCTCTTTTGCAATTGCCCTCTCCTCTTGCTTTTCTTTTGTTTCTTTTATAACCAACAAAAGCCAACCAAGCAAATCCAATGCCAAGCTAAAAAAAACATACAATAAAAAAATAGAAATAAGAGAGAATTCAACAAAAGGGGTTGCTAAATTTTATTAAATAAATTAATTGAGAGGGCTTTTTTTCTTGAAAATTAATGAATGTGGTGCTCTAAATCTAACTCAAGAACTTAGGAAAAAAAAACCAACCACTTCGAATTCTTGTAAATATGCATGGCTTAAAAGATGAGAGCGTCTATTATGCGACAAATAAATAAATGTTTAGTTTGATTTAGCTAAAAACACGGTACCATTTGGTCAACAATCAGTCCATCCATTATTACAATCTAACTTATTTATAGTAGAAACGAATTTTAGAATTATTTACATGAAAATGACTTGGCTCGCAACTACATCGTTATTTTCCAACAAATTGAATGAATCCGTATAATACCAATATTCCAAAAACGAAGTTTAGATGGGGATGGAGTTTAAGAAAAAACCTAGAGTTAAAAACTGGTCCAAACTGACTCGTAAATGTTACGAGAATGTAGATGAATCCATGCTTCCCTAATGTAGAAAAGCTTTACTATATTAGATTTAAAAGAGAAAGAAAGAAAGAAAAAGCTAAATGAAGGAATTGGAAATGAGAGAAACCAAAGAAAATGAAAGAAAATAAATTCTTGAAGCTTAAAAACTTACGCCTAGAAATGCGAATATGTCGATTTGTTCATGAGTTGTTTGGGTGATGGAGATGGTGGGTTCAAATGGATATGTGGTGTGAAGTATGGGAGAAAAACTAAGGCGAGATAGGTTCGAAGAGAGGATGACATTGTAAGGCGATAGGGTGGCTATTGGGGCTTGGGGTTGGCGAGAGAATTTATTTATGGGGTTGGTAAAATTTTATTAAATAAATTAATTGAGAGGGCTTTTTTTCTTGAAAATTAATGAATGTGGTGCTCTAAATCTAACTCAAAAACTTAGGAAAAAAAAAACCAACCACTTTAGTTGCTGTAAATACGCATGGCTTAAAAGATGAGAGCGTCTATTATGTAGGCAAATAAATAATAATGAAAGCGTTTAGTTTGATTTAGTTAAAAACACAATACAATTTGGTCAACAATCGATGCATCCATTATTACAATCTAAGCTTATTTATAGTAGAAACGGAATTTTAGAATTACTTACATGAAAATGACTTGGCTCGCAACTACATTGTTATTTTCCAACAAATTGAATGAATCCGTATAATACCAACATTCAAAAAACGAAGTTTAGATGGGGATGGAGTTCAAGAAAAACTTAGAGTTAAAAGCTGGTCCAAACGACTCGTAAATGTTGCGAGAATGTAGATGAATCCATGCTTCCCTACTTGTAGAAAAGCTTTACTATATTAGATTTAAAAGAGAAAGAAAGAAAAAAAGGAAGGAAGGAATTGGAAATGAGAGAAAGTAAAGAAAATGAAAGGAAATAAATTCTTGAAGCATAAAAACTTACGCCTAAGAATCCGAATATGTCCGACTTGTTCATGAGTTGTTTGGGTGATGGAGATGGTGGTTTCAAGTGGATAGGTGGTGTGAAGTATGAGAGAAAAACTAAGGAAGATAGGTTCGAAGAGAGGATGACATTGCAGGGCGATAGGGTGGCTATTAGGGCTTAGGATTGGCAAAGAATTTATTTGTGAGAGGTGAAAGATAATGGAGATAGTAGGCATGGTGACGAGAGGTGATTGGAAGAAAAGGAAGGATTTTTTCAAGGTTTTTAAGTGTTAGGGTCGGTTGGAGACAAAAAATAAGAGAGAATGAAAATGAGTATTTATGTATAGTATTTAAGGTTGGGTAGTTAAGTTCCTTTTTAATCCTTTATGTTGCATGTAGTTTTCTTTGTGATCTGGTGCTTCTTTATTTATTTTTAATTCCATACCTAATTAGTTTATTTTCGTCCCTTTCTTTTATCCTTTTCTAATTTTGTATGCAATTAAAGGCTAGTGTGTTTTCAATTCTTTTAATTATTTTGTTCTATTCGTTCTTATTTCCTCAATTGTTTCAATAGACGAGTCGTATGCCCTTTTTTATAATTTCTTCTTCTTTCTTTCTCTCTTTTCTCTTTTTTTATGTTCAAGCAATAACTCACAAAAATTATAGAAATTTATAAAACTAATAAAAAATTTTAATTTTGAAAAAAAATTTTGATTGAACAAAAATGTTTAAAACGAAATTTCTTTGCTATATATATTTTTTTATGGAAAAATCATGACAAATTAAGAGTTAAAAATGGATGCTAACAACAACTCGTTGAGCAAATCGGATAGAGCTAGAGTGGGGTAGCTCGAGCATAATAATAAAATATCAAAAATTGATTAAAATATTGTAAAATTGATTTTTTTATTTTATATATTTTTATGGATTCATAACATAAACCGAATTATCAAATTAAATGATTTTTTTAGATGAGTTCACGTATTCTATTTAACCAAGCAACGTAGTGCGGATAAAAAATTTAGTTTAAACTAAATATAGATAAACAATAAATAAAAAATTCCAATTGGAGTTCAGTATTGACAATCTCTCATAGAAAGCTTACTGGTAAGGCAATCTAATGGGGTTAAACTTGAAAAAGGCAATGTGAATTTTGAAAATGAAAAGGGTATGGAACGAGGGAGAGTTTTGTGGTTAGATAATAAAAAAAATGATATTATTCCATTATAACCCGAAAGTTTCAATCAGACTTCTCCCATAAAATATAATGAAATTTCCAATGAAATTTGCCAGAGAAACTAGTCAGAAAAAAAAAAGCTTGACTTGCAGTTCGACATCTTTGGGTTTCTAATTTATTTATTTTTTTTTGTGTTGATTTTCAATCAACGAAATCGAAAAACGTAGAACAATGAACGAGGACTTTGGGGTCTTGGATTTTGATAGGATTGTGAGGATTAACTCTTCAAGTAGTTTTTTGAATTTATCAGTCAAGCTGCATTTATATTTATGATTTATTCTGTTTGTTTATCGAAAAAATTAGGGAAAAGTAAGGAATTTTATTTTTTTTTCATATGGCAAATTAGTTTGAAGTGTCATGATACGTACAATTTTTTTATGCTGACTATCATTTTTAATTAAAAAGTTAACGGGACTATATTAAGAAAAAATGAAAAGCAGACGAAGGTCGTCAAAAAAAAAAAAACATAAACCACATAAAAAATTTTTAAAGTAAAATGACGTTTTAAGCGATTAACCCGATTTTTTTTTTTTAATGTTATCCGCGCAATAGATCAAGGAGAAAAGTTAATAGAATGGAAAGGAAGAATCTTCAAAGATAAAATAACAAAACAAATCCATAAACGCCACGTTTTGATAACACAGCGAGTGGAGGACCCACTTTTACTTTCTTTCTTAGCTCACACAGGCGTAAGTGAAAAAATTACTAAACAAATAAAGATTCAGACACAAACAAGAAAATAAATTAAAATCTCCCCGTTTCCATTATTAAATAATAATAATTCTCTTCCTCTCACTTTTTCTCTCTGTGTCTCCGCCTTATCAAATAAATAATTAACAACAACAACAACAATAAATAGGGTTTCTTTTATTTGCTTGTCTAAACGATTTGCAATCCGAGCTCGATCTTCATTAGACAAGTAAATTATTACTGTCATTTAGAATCTGAAGCTCATAAAGGTTGCATGGAGGTATGTTTTTTCACACTTTTTATTTATTTATTGAGAAAGTCTTATTTTATGGGTTTTTGTTTTCTCAGCTGATCTAAGTTAAATTGGTTCTATGTTTTTTTATCTTCTGATTATAAATTTAGTAAAGCTATGATCTCTTTTTTTTTTCTTTTTGAGTGTTGTGATGTGCTATCAATGTTTTTTTTTTTAGAAAAAAAACGAGGACTGAAAATTTTGGTGCAATTCTAACTGTTTTGGTCTTTTGGGTTTTATTTTCTGCTCACTTTTAGGTTTTTTCTTTTTCTATTTTTGTCTTACTTTGCAGCTTTATTTTCATTAGTTTTAGTTTATTTTTGTCTATAAATGTGAGATTGAAATTTCTTGTGTTGTTTAAGTTTTGAAAGACAGTGCTTTGAGTGCTTTTTTTCAGGGTATGGAAGAGAGAGACCAACATGAATTTCCATTTTGTTTCTCTATTTTATTTCCATTTTGCATTTCAAATGGAGGGTTTCTATGTTTATGATGTTCTTTATCATTTCTTTCGCTCTACGCATGTGTCATGTCGTATTTATGCTAGCATTTGATTTGGTTGGTACATGTAACTTGTTTGCTGAAAGTTTTTTTTTTTTTTTTTTTTTTTTTTTTTTTTTGTATTGACATATTTGGCACTATAATATCTATTAATTGGGATATTTGTTGCTTGTTGTATTGTCTTGTTAAGTAATTGATTTGATCCCTGCTTCAATTGCTTTCAGTTTTCTTTCTCATGGCTTGAACCAAGATGATTGTCGGATTTAGTTTTTAGCATTGTGATTATTCATGGTTTAATTCCTGGGTTTCATTTGCATAACCAGTTGAATTTCCTAGATTCATTTGAGATGGTATGTTTTAGGATTGGCTAATTTTTTTGTTTTTGCATTTAGAATAATGATTTGTGTTTTGGGTTTGTAGGGAATGGAAGAGACCAAGAAGGCTGAGGCACATTTGACATCTGCTGCAGCTTTCGTGGAAGGGGGAATCCAGGAAGCTTGTGATGATGCTTGCAGCATATGCCTAGAAAACTTCTCGGAGAGTGATCCTTCAACTGTATGTATGGTTGATGTCGATGATTTATTCATTTGATTGTTTATTTGCGCCCTATGTTTAGCTTAATCTGTCAGTTTGAACTTGTGTTTTAATTAATATCGGTCAAGTTGGCCCGTCTTAATAGACATTCGAAAGCACTGCTAAGAGTTTGATGTGGATATTTTAATTTTTTGAAATCCAGCTATGTAAATAATTGAAACAGAAAATCCTGACATGGCGCTACAAAAATGTTAGAACAGACGAGAGAAAACAATAAATCAAAATGAAAAAAAATATCTAACGAAACCACATAGCTTGCACGCTGCACATGACTGAAGAATCTTATCTCCCTGTGTCTCATAAAATCTACACAATTTGGTCAAGCTTTTCTTAAAGCAGTTCTACTTTTTCTTTCACAGGTGACCAGTTGCAAGCATGAGTTCCATCTCCAGTGCATTCTCGAATGGTATTTTCATTTATCTCCAATTTCTGAGTTTCAGTTATTTTCTTAAATTGCTGCTTTTGTAGTTGTTAGTGTAGTTGAAGCGTTGGATGGTCTTGTGCTGACAGAGGACTTACCTAGTTATTGGCCAAGTAGAGCCTAACTTTGATTGGTCAGGGAGCCAAACAATAAACATGGCTGTGTCGGACAATCTTGGATAGCCTCATTATGTACAGAAGTCTTAAATTAGTATGTGACTGGGCTTCGGAAATTGCATGAAAGCTAGTAGACTAACCCATGATGTTGATTACTCTATTAACTAATTCTGATTTTGTAATTTGAATCATTCGTGATACTTTTTCTCCTTGTAACGGTGATTGCTAAATGGCTTGATTATCACATCATCTGTTTATGTATTTGTGTCATTTAAGTGTGCTTAGTTTGCCCTGCGCTTGGTTTAGTGTTTGGCTAACCGTGGATATACTTTGAGGACAGTCTGCTTGACATTATGAACACATAAGTTGCTAATTAGCAGCCTCCAATTCTTTAAGTTTTAATTTAAGAACCATCTTTCAGTCATCCTTCATGAATCTCAATCCTCAATATATGTTTCCACAACAACATTGCAAAGGATGCTAAAATGTAGTTGCAAAAAGCTCTCAACTCTCAATCTTAAGCATTCTGAATAAATGGTACTTGCTATGATGCCACTCCTGAAACGAAACTCTCAATTCCTTATCCCCAGCTAACAGAAAGAGCTATGTAAATTGCTCTTTTAGGTTCTATTCGGAGAGATGGTAGGGTGGATGGATGGGATAAATTTCCTTGTTTAGTATGATAAATGGAGACTCAGGGAAGGGTACGAAGGATCCTCTGTGTCCTTCCTAACTTTTAAAATGCAATGTCTCCAATTGACGGGATTTCCACCCTTTATCTTCCTTGCTAGCTAAACAACTAGATGGATGGGGTATCACCCAACTTTTCTCCTCTTAATCCTTGTGCTTTATCCTTTCTATCCTTCCTCCTTACAAATAGGGTGTTATAATTGAAGTGCTGTAATGGAGGAGGTGCAAAACAATACTGAAATTACTATTTCCTATGTAAAAATTGCTTTGGGTATGAATTCCTCCCCTCCCCTGTGCGCCCCGCACCCCCCTCTTATAAATAAGCTCTCTCTTTTCAGGAGTCTAACTGATGTCATTCACCTAATTTTTGGTGACTGACCTTTGGACAAGACGACCATTCCTGTCCCAGTCTCTCCCTTCCTCTTATGTACATGCAAGTAAACCTATATCCAAATCTTACACATAACACATGAAGCTTGCCAGAAAAAAGGAAAATGTGAAACTCTGGCGTGAAACCTATTTTCAGTCTAAATAGATTCTACTTTAAGTAAAATATAATTGCATCTTTTTTTTTCTTTCATTCGTTTTTCCCCAAATCCAGGAGAACTTTGTTAGAATTACTATAGATGAGAGATCTCTTCAATGCTTGAAATTTGTTACGTTTTATTTCATCTGCTTCGATCTAGCTGCTTCTTGGATGCTTTTTGGAATGAAAACCGAGGCAATTGATTTTGTTTTTCTGTGGATAAATGAATTATATTGACATGAGTGGTAATTGAATCTTCCAGGTGTCAAAGGAGTTCCCAGTGCCCTATGTGTTGGCAACCCATCAGTTTGAAGGATCCCACGAGGTTCAATTGTTTTTGCTGCCCTTGCATTTTTTCCTTGCCAATAGTTTGAAAAGAATTACTTATTATTATTATTATTTTTTTAATATTTTGACAGTCAGGAGTTACTTGAGGCTGTAGAACAGGAGAGGAATTTTAGGTTTAACCCATCAAGAAATGCTACCATATTTCATCATCCAACCCTTGGGGACTTTGAATTACAGCATGTCTGTAACCTACCTCTGCTAGTTTCAACCTTTTCTTTTCGACAAACCACACATAAGCTTAATTATGATAAAATTCAATGGTGTGTCAAATGCAGTTGCCAGTGGGTGCAAATGACGCTGAACTTGAAGAGCAAATAATCCAGCACTTAGCTGCTGCTGCTGCAATAGGGCGGCGTCATATTGCAAGAAGAGAAGGGCAGCGGAACAGGTCATCAGGTCAAGGTCGTCCACAATTCTTAGTATTCTCAAGTCAACCTAATGAATCTCCTGCTGGTTCAATCTCTTCCTCTCCAACTCAGAGAGAAGGTGAACCCATTTCTGCAATCACAGTAGCAACACCATCTGCCCCAACACTTGAATCTTCTCCACAACCTATCACATCGCTATCTACTAATGCCCTGGCTGATCCATCTCCTGCTTCAGCTTCTGGATCCAGTGTTATCAATCAACATGGAAATTCCATGGATAATAGGTGCAGCAACCGTTCAATTTTCAACTATTTTTTTTTTTTTAATGTTACTACTATAGTTGTAGATGGACATTGTTAATTGAATTGTCGGGAATTTTGTTTATGAAGGTCTCCTGTTGAGTCTTATCCAAATAGTCAAGACAGAGCAGGGCCATCGGAACTTCAATCATTTTCAGAGTCTATCAAATCTAAATTCAATGCAGTGTCAATGAGGTATTAATTGCTTGGAAACATTTGACAGTTTTGATAACATTGACAGGTTTGATGAATTTCTACTTTCCCCTATGCTCATAAATTGATTTTCACCTGTTTCCCTTTCCAGATATAAAGATTCGATTTCAAAGAGCACTAGGGGATGGAAAGAGAGATTTTTCTCTCGTAATACTACCATCGTGGATCTAGGTTCTGAAGTTAGAAGAGAGGTCAATGCTGGAATTGCGACAGTATCTCGCATGATGGAGCGTCTAGAAACCAGAGACAATAGTAGAACTGGCACCTCTTCTGTGTCAAACAGTGTGGAGGATGGTTCACTTGCAGAATCTAACAATCACCAATTGCCGGAGGTTGGTGGTGGCAATGCAACGAGTGATCCCAATACCGATGGGCAAGCTTCACGCGCTGCAACTTCTGGTTCTGTTTAAGTACAGTTTTTCAATCATATCATTGACATTATTAGAAAAGGTATGTTTTGGCATGGATTTGTTTCTTTTTACAGCATTTGGTGATGCATTTGTGAAAATCTTTAACTACTGAACATTTAAACTGTTCAATTATTCTCAAACCAGTTGAAACAGACTCCTTTTTTACAGCATTTGGTTGCATGCATCTCCCTCTTATACTAATTATGCTCTTTTTTTGTTGCTTTCTCCAGATATCTATGCATTGGTGCATTCTGATTCTGTATCTTTTTTTTTTCCCAATTACCCAAGCATTTTGTTAAATTCTTCTTTCTGGTATTATTGGTTGGTCCCTAGTCCTTATAATGCACATTGTATTGAAATGTTGCAAATATAGTTCATAGGTATTTTACTTCTATGCACAATCATTATCACCTGCTAAAAGTCCAAGCATCAGTAATGGGTGTGTTTCGGAGACCAGTACAGCCACTTTGCGACAATTTCCTTCTCAGAGTTATGATAATTCAATATTATCCTATCGAATTGCTACACTAGCTCTTATTGATCTTCCTTCCATTTGGAGCTATAAATTGAGAAATAAGAGACTTCAAGAACTATGAAATTTATGGGAAAAAACAGTCAGAATATTATCAAGATTTGTCAAATTTCAAGGGAGAAATTTTTGGCATCCCAGGTAACCTGCAAAACTCCAAGCAAATAAGTGTACCCTCATTCACTGTCATACTGTGACCTGTTCCTTTTCAGCACGGTAAACCAATGTGCATTAGTGGGACGAGAGTAAAAACAGTAGGCAGGTGTGCGGTCAGTTGGTTTTGGTGGATTACTGAGGCAAATGGGTTTGAGACTAAAGTAACTCTATTGCAGGGGACAAATATTTATCAGTCTACATATCCTATAAAATTCAAAGTAAGCAAGCGTTTTCTTGGGTGCTTACTTTACCCAGTCCTATCTGATCTGCATTAGGATGACAAGCCAAAACAGAAGGTGTGCAAGCCAAATTGGTTTTTAATTTAAGCCAACCTTGGACCTTTGTTTTTGTCTTACAATTATTGTTATTGCTGTAGTTGAAGTATGCACTGCTTGTATCTTTTTCTATGAAAGATAGGAGGAAAGGAAGATCAGGTGGTTGCTTAAGCAAATCATCCATTGTACTGTTGCAGAAACAATAGAAGATTCATTTGGTGAAGATAGTCAAGTTGCAGAGTTTCTTTCTGTTATTTTAGCCTTTTTGAACTTAGATGGAAGTGTTGGATAACTAGACACATGTCCTTTTTGTTGATCTTAGTGAAAGGATAGCTCCACGCAAAGCAGATGACACTTTGGTGATTCAGCATACTGGATCTTTCACTTGTTGATGGCCTGTGTCTAAGATTGGTAGCACAATAGGCAATTCTTGGTATGCTTATATGGTTGAATCCTTACAGTAATTGCAGCTAGCACTCTTTGGTGATTGACCATGGTGTAATAGCCTGTGTCCTTTTTAATGGACTGTCTAATTCAACTTAAGATAGTCGTGCAATGATTTAATGGTTGGTCGTAAGCATTTTCAGGGTATGAACAGTGAATTAGCAGGAAAGAGTGATAATTTGACTAGTGCAACGTCATCCATCAATTGAATATGGAAGCTGTTGATTACAATGCAATTTAAGAGAGCTTCTTGTAATGTGGTTTCAAGAATCTCAAAAAATCTTGGTCGAAGACAAGGAGTACACCAGTGAGCAGCTGGTCCAATGTGGTTTGGTTTAAGCAAATAGTGCTCTTTTCCAAGTTGAAATATGAGCTCTCTAGTTGCTTTCATACTTTAGCTGATCTGTATTTCTTAATCCTGCTTCAGTTAATGAGTAGACATGTAGCTCTGTTCTCATTGCATGGGAGGTTAATTGGTTCCCTCGGTATTTCAATTGGAAGTACCTCTTTGTTAATAAATGCAATGTATTTAAGAAAAGGGTTTTTCCCACATTTAGACCTTGCACTTTTCAAATTTTTTTGATTGAGATCCTCTATTCTTTTTTGGTTTAATTGCGACCCTCTACTCTTCAGGATTTGTTATTTCAAACCCTCTGTTATAATGCCACCAATCAATGATTGACACATGGTTGAGATTTCTTATTTTACAATGCTATGTATCGATTGTTGATTGGCGGTGTTATATCAGATGGTCTGAAGCAATAAATTTTGAAGAGTAGAGGATGTCAATCAAGCCAAATACGAGTAGGTCTCAATAAAAAAAATTCAAAGAGTACGGGGTCCAAATGTAGGGTAAACCCTTGAAGAAAATGGGGCTAAGATTTGCGAATTGGGCCAAGGGGAACTAGTGTGAAATGCCATGATTTGGATGTGTACCATACATGAACATTACACCTGCATATCATTCTAAATTGCCTGTTAAAGCCTAGTTTTTGTCACATAGTATTCTTACCACCAGTGCTGTTGTCTTTTCCTCTTCTTTCAAAGTGGTGTGCCATTTTCTAGTGAGAATTGTGAATTCAAAGGAATGTAATCTGCAATTATGACTTCATTAAGGATGCCTTTTTGCTGACATAATGTCTGCTTTGCAGATGTAGGATGCTGTGGATGAGAAGCTTTCCCCTTCTTCAAAGCTAGTGCATAATCTCATTATAGAAGGGAAATTAGGAAGTGAGAAGTGATCCAGACCGAAGAACTACAGCAAAAGGTCTTCCATTCGGACAGCGTATCCAGTAGATGTTTGTAAATCAGTTTATAAGGATGAGCTTATATATAATTAAATCCACAAGGTCCTGTGTAGGTGCACTAATATTTAAGATATTAACGACTTAAAAATTTGGATAAATAAATTCCTTTTGTTTTCAGCTTTTATGAATGTTTCACGTTCTTCTGCAGTCTTAAATACAAAAATGGCAGAAATCTGCAATCGAATTGCGATTCACAATGAAGAAACTAGAGTAGGTCTTCTGTTTGGGCAGGTTTGCTATTATTCAAGATTTAACTGATTTGGACCTCTAGGTAAATTCGTTTAATTCTCCGTTTTGATGAGGGTTTACTTTTACCTGCATCTCAAAACGATCAGGCGCGATAGGGCTGAACCAGTGTTTTGATTTGCTGCTCGTTTTGATTGCAAGACCAAGAAACCAATAGCTGACAATAATTTCTTGTTGCCCAAGGCAGTAGAAATCGTTCCTATTCAACACATGGCGCGGTCTCTTAAGTTATCATGTATTGATATTATTATTATTATTATTATTATTTCATAGGAGCATTAATTCTGTTTATTTTTTGGTCAATGGAAATCTTTTTTATCTTATTATCTTTTGTTTGTAAGGAAATTTGTGATTTCACTATAGATGGGGTGATTTGGGATTTCAATAAATTTGTGAAATAATAAATGTTGTCCAAAAAGTGGTTTAGGAGATTGTCATGTGCTGGATAAGAGGATTCCCAGAGGTGATCATTCGGTCTTTATTTTAGTTTTTTTTTCAGTTTTCAGTTAATAGAATTGATCAAAATAAAAATCGAATCAAATTGAGGTTCGGTTTTTTAGTTTTCAATAAAAAATCAATTTGTTAACAAAGAAAATCATAAAAAAATGCTATGAGTTTTGGATGTGTTAAAAAAAAAAATATATACCAACTCAATTTTTGGTGAAAACCGAATTAAAAAAAAAAACAAAACAAAATAATTTTTGTTTTCAGTTTTGGTTTTTTTTTTTAATGTTCTATACAAAATCGAACCAAAATCGTTAGTTCGATTCGATTTTAACCAAATAATACTCGCTCCTAATTCACAAAGCCTTAAACAAAAGAAAAGATTAGCTAGAAATACTTAATTTATCATGTCTTGGTAAACTAGGTCAATAAAATTAGGACACATGGACAAAAAATAATGGTCTCCATCCAACGATATGAAAATTAGTGATCATCACCAGATGACATATATATGATTTTATTTTTATTTATTTAATCTATATAATAGACTAAGTCAACATAAAAATTTCTCTAAAACATCATGAAATTATAGTTTATTTTATTAGTAATGGTTTCAATTTTGATGGGTAGGGGATACGAAATAACACTGAATTTTAGAATCTCGACTAGTTTGGTGTTTTTTTTTTCCCCTCTCCTCATCTTATCACCTTTGTATGCATCATAAGCGCTGAGCGGGTTTTCATAAAAATAAAATGGTAAAATAGTTTCCTTCATCTTTCTGGATTTTTTTTTTATATATAAATTTATTTACAGTTCCATTACTTTCGAGCCTTGAGACTGGCGTACACAAAAAACTCACCAAGCCTGACAAGATTATGGCCTATATCTGGAAAAAAATAAAAAAATAAATGGAAGGGGGAAGGTTTGTTGTCATCCATTGGAAAAAAATCATGCAGCCAATGAGATAAAGAAAAAAAATTCTCCATGGACAATGTTTACCAAAAGGGAATTTGGTACATAATACATGCTCCCATTTCCAGTGTTGAGTGCAAATTGAGGGGAAAAAAGAAAAATCGAATTATGACCCTAAACCATGTCATAAACAAAGATCATTACTTAAAAAACCAGCCTTAAATTACTAGTAGAACCAGAAGTGGGAGCATGTATATTTGGACAATGTTTACCAAAAGTGTAAATTTGTAATAGATAATGCTTACCAAAAGTGTAAATTTGGACAAATTCTGAAGCCATTATATGCACAGGTCAAAAAGAGGAAGGAAAATCATTATTATCATCAATAGCACAGACTGCTTTCTTATCAATTAGCATCCTAGGAAAGGAAAAATAATGGTAAATCCATGACATTTTCAAAATTCTAGCATAACACCCAAGTAATGCGAATAACCATTACATTTCTGCATTGGAACATTTGTATTATTGTTGAAAAGGCGACCAACTCCTCGCTAGAGCTCTCCACGTTCGACTAACAGTCCAACTTAAGACCGCTCTCCACATTTCTTCTGCCACCACTCCATGAACTTAACCTGTGCTGCCATGGTATCCAACCTGTAGAGTTGCAGCCAGTGGTTTCCAATTTCATGTCCAAATGTCCAACCAAAAACACCTCCAGCTAAAAAGGACAGCCCAGCACCTGTGAAATATGATTTGGGTAAGAAGCTAAACAATTTTTCATTACTAATAAACATAATAGAAAAACTTCATCGTTCTGCATGCTTCTTTTAATGATAATTGGCCTGTTTGCACTGTGTAACTAAAGAAATTCAAAGTTCATTGGCAATCACATACATGCATCTAGGAAAGCCGGTCCAATAAATTTTCATATAAGAATGATTTTTCGACTACTAGTCAATGCCAATAAAACTCTTAACATGTAAAGCAAAAGAAACAAAAAAGACGAGAACGCTGAGAATATAATCCCACTGTCCTATAGTTTCTATTTACCTATAAATCATATTTATGCATATTTTAAGCAATACTGCATTTGCCTGAAACACAATCCTCAAAAGGAGAAATCTCTTATACATAGTAATCATCCATGAAGCCAGGATTCACTGAAAGATAAACTAAAATGTGCATAAGAAGCTATGAATAATTATGCCTTCAAAACATTTGCAACTGTTAATAGAAATTGCTTATCATTGTGATATGGCTCAATCAAAATAATATGCTTTGAATTCTCTTTCATCCTTAAGTTACCAGATTTGCAATAAAAAATAGAGAGAAGAGGCAGTGGAATACCATGTAAGCTCCTTGAATATTTCCAGGCAACACCTGCAGTTGATACTGCTCCAATTACACTTCCTGTAACTCCAAAGTTTGCTGCTTCCCTAGCAGTCCTCAGCTGAAAAAGAAGAAAACTTTAATCATGCTTTCCATAAATAAATATCAATCAGTAAAAATGCTGCCAAACAGGAACCATCAGAACATATGGAACGATACGTATCCTAGTATCTGCCTTCTTCAGCAGGAAAACTTCATATTTTATGAAAACTCAGGAAAACCATGAACCAATAAATTTGATTTATAATTTCACTTGCAAACAAGAGCCTAACAATGGGGTTTATCAGAGGGAGAGGAGGTTCAGCCATTTTCAATTCAGTCAAGAGATTGCAAACAAATGCTTTGCAAACAGTCAAACAACAGTCATAATAAAATCCTCAGTAGTAATTATGTCAGATGCTTGGTACAAATGAAATTGATGGGCACCCAAGAAACAAAACATAAATAAAGCAAATAAAGGGGCATTTGACTGATAGTTATCATAAAATGACAACATACCAGGGAGTTAAAGCAAAAACTCCTAATACATATAACTCTCTCCTCGCCTTACTAGTTAATCAACACAAATAAATTCTGTTAGGAGGCATTTTGGACGCAAATAAGTTCACATTGTCATCTTAAAAACTCAAGTTCTATAAAAGAATAACAAAAAAACTGTATTCTTTTAAGCAAGAAGTTAAATTTGATCCTTGGGAAGACCAAGAAAATAATAGCAATATTTTCAGATGCTACAGGATAATCTTGATGCATTGCATGTTTTACCATATTCAAGATAAACATATTCCTCAATATTGCTTTAAGAGAAGGGAAAAGATAGTGTAAAGCCACTTAAGAATTTTCCCAAGACACTGCACCCAAATAGCAAAGACCACAAATAGGTTCATCTTAAAAAGGCAGGGGATGTTTCAATATCCAGTGGGCATCATAAACAATTTAAAGATGATATTATATCTTAATAACACAATGAAGAAAATTTGTCTCTTCAATACATAGAGCCATCCGACGCATGCTCTTCAACTTAACTGTTATTGGAAACAGATTGATTTCAACTGCCAGGTCACCCGAGCAGCTTAAGCTCAACAGAATAGTCTTTCTCCGTTACTAAATTCATATCTAACTGTGAAATAACTGGAGACACATTACTTAAGAGTGTGATTTAAGTGCCAAATAGGAAATTATACTCAAAAGACTAAGCATCATCAGGCATATATAAAAAAAGACATAAATTGAGAGTAAAATTCTGACAGAACTAAGATACGTCTATATAATGATTCTCAAATAAAAGACAACACAATTCTTAAATTGTTTCTTATATATATAAAAAAAGAAGGATTAATCCAACTGTAAACAAACAACACAAAAGGAACCCAATAACAAGACCTAATCAGACAAATGAAACTTAAAATCAATAAGAAAAATAAACGCTTTTCAAAATCAGCCCAGCATACATCATCAGCAGATAAGCAGTAATAACCTGAAAAAATGAAATTTTTTACTTAGAATGAAGCATAAAATTCAAGAATATTCAAGAATAAGAAAAACCCAGATGAAAAAAAAAAAATCTAAAATTAGAACAAAAAAGATCGAAAACAAGCAAAAGAAAGTAAACCCAAATGATCTGATCTAAGCTTAATCTACACAGGAGGCAAGAAGAAAAGGAAGGAGGAAAAGAGAGAGAGAGAAGGGAAGGGAAGCATACAGCGGGGCCATGAAGAGGATCTGAAGCAATGAATTCTTGGACATCAGAATCAGACCAAGTAGGAAGTGGCTTATCACGTCTGAGGAATTTTGAATAGTTTTCAAGAAAGGAAAATCTCTCGCCCCAAAATTCAGTAAAACCTTCCCAGTGTTTCTTGAAGAATGATTGTTGTTGTTGTTGTGACTCTGATGATTCTCCCATTTCCGCTCTCTGTCTCTCTCCTTCTCTCTTTGTGATTATAGATAGCAGTCCGATAGTGAGAGACGTTAAAAAAGGAAAGCGCAGCTTAGCCTACCTTTTCCTTATTAATTAAAATTAAAACTACAGGGTACACTCTATTGTCCTCTCCAGATTTCTGTATATAATAATGTCTAAGATGATGGGATTGGACTGAGAATGGTTAGATACCCTACTCCCAGATACACTGTCGTCTTCTCGATTCCTTACCAATCACAACTCGACATGCAAACATTTGTTTCTCCTTAATTACCTTCGCTTCATTATTTATTAATTGAAATAGTCTAATACATTTGGTAAAAGAGAGAAAGTATCAATGAGTCACCCTTATTTCAAAAATTAATTATTTAATTTCATAATTAGTATTGATCATACTTTATTTAATATAATAATATTTTATAAAATATCATCTTTTTGATTAATTTTTACTTATCATTTTTCTTCTTCCATTTATTAAGAAAATCAAAATAATTTGGAAATGAGCTAAAATGATTAAATTACCAAAAAAAAATTAAAATATAAAGGCTAAATAATTAGTTTAAAAAAAAAAAAAACTAATCAATTCATTTATTTTTCAATTGAAAGGATAATTTGAAAATGTTTTCACTTTGGTGTTTAATGTTTAAATTTAGACACAGCTTCCTTAAAACTCTGCCAAAACTCATAAAACATATAGAATTGAAATAGCCTAATACATTGTCACCTATTAAAATCTCCTCAACATGCACAAAACCACCCAGGTCGTTTTACCATCTCTAGGTAACCCTTTTTTTAATTGTTTTGTACATTATGCTACTAAATGTAAAATTTAAATGAAAACTAAATCTGAAAGGATTGGCCTAATGATAAAAAAAATTATGCTTCATTTTTACCGACTTGCTTTCAAACCTAAAGAAGCAATCAGCCTTAGATCATTATTGAAAAGATGAATTTAATCTCAATATACGGGGGAAAAAAAACCACTTCATTTAACTATAAAATAAAAAATGAAAGCCAAAAATGAACATACAATTACTAATAAAAGAAGATTCAACGAATTAAATGAACCAAATCTAAGCTACAATATCATCATCTCATCCTTCCATGTAAGAAGAGCATTAGTATCAGGTTAGCCAAAACCTCTACTCTGTCCATGTTGCTACGTGAAAACGAAAGAATGGGAACAGAACTAGACTTGAGTTGGCCAGTTCCACCAGCCAAATAACAAAGAGAGGGCACAGGGTATTCAACTGCAAAATCGATTACAACCAAACGGACCTTAGGCCACCTTTGGTTCCCATCTCGAAACACATTTGGTAGGGGATTGTTGTCTGCCTCAGAGGCAAAAATGAGGCAACTTTATAAAATATGTTAACCATAGCAATTCATCATGGTTTACTTACAGTAAGCTAGATCCATATGTAAATGGGCTGAAAATTTCCAGGCAAGCCATCCCTATTTCAAACATCATCCAGAAACTCATCAACAAATCTGTGATACTGGGAAAAGAGGCCTGCAAATAGATACCAGAGTAACATTTGCTGTCAACGATCACCAACCAACCCCCATAAAGAAATTATAGCTTCCAGAAGGAAGCTTACCTACATGTCATAAACACCGCATACTTTACAAACACTTAGATTTACAGTAATATTTTCATCTCTTTCTCTTAGCTCCAGCTTTCTCCGAGGAACCAGAACCACCTCTCCCTCTGCCTGCTGGTTTCCTTTCAGCAGATGCAGAACCTTGTTTTCCTCTACCTGTTGGAGTCTTCTTAGAATTTGAATTTGCCTTGCCCTTTAATTCCACCTCTACTTGGACTCCTGTAAGATATTTGGAGTTCATTTGAATTCATCAATCCTATTGTTAGGCTGTAAACAATTTAATAGACCATTCCTTTCACAGGTAATTGGATTTTGGATTGAATAAATTGTTTATTCTAAGGCCAACAACCTGAGTTATTAGGACACCAAATTGAATCTTGGATTAGCTTTCCAACATAATAAAACAATTGGTAAGAAAATCTCACTGACCTTTTGAATTCAAACTCTGAAGTTCAGACTTCAGCTTCTCAGCATTGCCAGTTCCTTCTGACATGTGAACAAGAAAAACTAAATCCAACTAATACCAAAATATTCTATCCAGATATTGCAATTGCAGAAAAATTAGACCACAAGTATACGATTTTTTGAAATAGTTTCACCATGCCTTTCAAAAAATAAATAAATTTCGGGGTGCATTGGTTCTAATCAGTAATCTCCTACCTTAATGTACTACATGTTTCGCAGAGTCAAAGTTGTTAAGAGGAGTGGAAATAAAATACATTCTTACAACAGGTACATAATATATCAGACTATGTATTAAACAAAGGAACTTAGTTAATGACTTCTCCCACTGTGCTTAGTATGAGTATATCCCTAATCCTCCCAGCCTTAACTGTCAACTGAGACTAAAAATTGTGGCTAAAATGTTTGAAAATCTCATGTGAATAGAAAAAATATCCTAGTCTTTGCCCACAAAGCAGATCTCCAGGCAACTTAGTCAGTGACTTCTCCCACTGTGCTTAGCATCAGTATATCCCTAATCCTCATGGTCTTAAGTGTCATCCCTAACCCCTGAGACTAAAATTTGTGGCTAAAATGTTCAAAAATCATGTTAATAGGAAAAAATATCCTAGTCCTTGCCCACAAAGCAGATCTCAAGTCACTGAAAAGATGCAAGCCAAAAGCAGAAAGAGGAATATGATCTAAGGACACAAAATTACAGCGAGTGTTTGTGCATGTTCACGTGCATGTGCTGTTTTTATTTTATTTTTTTATATCGGAGGGAGATGGAGAGGAAAGCTGAAGGATAACTATCATCGGATGGCCAGTGACATTTTCGAGGAAATAATATTTACCAGTATCCTCTGGGTCAGAAGAGTTTTCTCCTTCACTTTCAGCCAACGGGTCACCATTTCCCTCTCTTAAACCTTCATCAGAAGGTTCTAGTATTGCTGCAATGCGCTTCTTAGGAACCTTTTTCATTCCAGGAAGTGTGACTAAATCTGCAGCTCGCACCATTCTCAATTTGCTTCCTTCTTTATATGCCCTTGTCAGAGCAGCTTTAACAGTTGATGGTATGCCATCCAATGGATTCCCATGCCCCTGATATGTAAAACAATCATGAGATATTCTGAGAGTATGAGAATAGCTGACACACCAATTATGTATATAAAGCAGATAGGACCACCTGAAATTTTGACAACTCTACAATAGTATCCATATCCTCCTGACTAATCGAGTATACATTCATGAACTCCACAACCTTCTCAACAGCTTCATCCTGGTGAATAGTTCATGCAAAAAAAGGAGGAGAAGAATGTCAACATGCAAAGAGCATTCTCTTCGAACAATCTTCAGTAGTCAAAGGTTAAAGGAACTCTCAATTGATGAAGTTTGACACCTGGGGCCATTAAGGCACTCGTTAAAGTGAATTGATGGAGAATCAACTTCTAAAATCATGCAACCAGACAATTGAAAGAAAATTTGTATCTCATGAAGTCAATTCTAATATATGTCAAAGTTAGCAATTCTGTTCCAAGTTAAATAAATGACAGAAAAAGAAAAGGAGAATTTATTGGTTTACTATTGCACATTTAGTTCCTCAAGGTTTTGTAAATAAAGAAGTATTGTCAAACAAGTCTCAGAAACAAAGAAAAGGCAAAGAAGCAGAAACAGGAAAAATAAATTATGGGTAGAAAGGTGTATGAGAGAAGATAGATTTTGAAAGAAAAACTATAATGGGCTCCTTTACCTGAAAGTACATGAGGCTTCTTTAGTGAAAAGGTCTGATGAGCAGAACCAATGAAAGAAACAGAAAGTTAAAAAGTAGTGTGTTTCTCACAGAAAAGAAAAATAAGAGAAAATGGAAAGAGCAGTTTAGAAAACGTTTATAAATTAGGTGATTATTTTCAGGCCACGATGCTCAGAACTCTTTGGCTTTCCCTAAAAAGAATAAATGAGTGGTTTGCAGCTATTTGGTGTAAAAAACACACAACAACAGTGACAAACTTTACAGAGGAACTTAAAAGATAAAGTAGAAGACCTCATCCAACAACCTGCATAACTACACAATAATATAAGGACCCCTATTTTAATCAGCATTCATCCCAAACATCTATTAGCTTCAGAGTCATAACTTCATTGTCTTGCCTTTGACAAGGAAGGTGAGTTGTGTATCTGGGAGAAACTTAAAAAACCCTGCTTTAGTCCTTGCAGCTATTTAAACAATATGTTATAACAAACATAAAGAAATTACGACTTTCCTCTATTGTTTCTACGAAATCAGAAATTTGGCATGCACCCCCTACCAGTTTGTTTTAAAAAAATGGTACACAATGCATCCAATTCTTGTCACTGGTCTCAGACACAGGCAAGCACCGAGCTTGCAGTTGGCTATGTTCATCAGTTCCACGCATAAAAGAAGTAAAAGCTGACGTCAAACCTTAGGGAGCACCCGAAGAGGATCAGCCAATTGCTTCAGAAGAACCGTAAGATAGTCAAGTCGAAGTGTCTCCCTGTAGGAATGGCAATGAAACAATGTTCAAGCAGCTTTCAAAGGACAATGAATCTATAAAGCAACATATTGAAATTCTAGATTTCAAATTGGCAATAAAAGAAGTGGCATAACATGGCAACAGAAAGCAACCTTCTCCATCACTTATAGTTATTCTAAAAGTGACTAAAGTTTCACCAAGGCTCAATCAAGTGCATATTCATGAGCACATGCATAAGCAATAAATTTTTATATCAGTATCTACAATATATTGCTTTGAAACAAATGAATGATACCAGCATGTATAAAAACAGTTACCTCCCCAAATTAGATTCGCCAGAAGCAAGGAGATGAACATGCAGATCCTCCAAAAGCCTCAAATTTTTGCCCCTTGTTGAATTCTTTCCCAGCCACCCACCAAATCTATTAAAATTCCGTTCACCCTGAAAATGAGAACCCATACAATAAATACTTGTGGTACTAAGAATATAAACATGTTATATACAACTACGTTATCAACTCCAACTACCAAAAGTCAGAATGATATGCTCTCCAGAACCTTCACCAGACAGAAAAATCCATATACCATATCCTCACATAAGAAAGCATGAGGCAGTAACACAAAAATAAAAAGTTGTTGTTGTACACAGTGAAGCATCAAAGAAATACAAATAATTTCACCAAAGTTTAGTCCAGCTAAATCCAGTGACAAGCTCACCGAACTAAGCTCATAAGTACAAGCATAAGAAAATTGGTTATCCAAGAAATGATGTAATGATTATTGCAAACAATTTTTTTTTTAATCAGGATTATTCTAGGCATGATAGAGTTGATTATTGACTCGTTCAAATTAACAAAAAAAAAAAGATTCTGTGCATGACGAAAATTCCATAAGGACAAAAGCGAAGGCAAATGAAGAAACTAAAAGAAATAAGAAAAATATATGATTCTTTGACACGACTTTGATAAATAATGAGAGAGGAGGCAGCCAACTATTTTTGGAACGCAAGAATAAAAGTTGTATACCAAATCAGGCTATATGTTTGGTTTTCTCAACATAATCTCTGCTTGGCAGTTAAAATCTTTTTACAGACATGCACCATAATAAAGGTAAATTTTTAGGCTTTTTAGACAAGTTGCTGCATAACACTACCCAAATATGTTAATCTAAATTTGTTGCAAATAAGCATACATCAAAGAAACTACTAACTAATAATCCTTCCATTTGATGTAACTCCACAAAAGATGGCAAGCACATTAAGCTTCAAGAGACATTCATTACCTGTTCAAGTGTCTCCCTTGATCCATGCAACAATGCAGCACTGGTTACAACAACAGAAATTTAGAGAACATCATCTAGAGTGCATGAACACATGAAGAACTCTTGATGTTTTCATAGCAATACGGTGATACATACGGAATAATACAGGATGAAAGAGAACCAGTTTGAGATAGCTGCCACTGTCGATATCTTCGAATCTGCACATTTATAATATCTCCATCGGCAATAGACTCAGCAGCACGTGCAATCAAGCTCATACGTTTCATCCCATTGTCATCTTTACCAATAGAACTTGGCCTATAATTGATGTAATTTTCCTGCCAAATTATAAAATCAGTTTCCTGAATATAATATAATATAGAATTGTGATTTTTTTTTTTTTTTTTTTGCAATGATGAAAGATTCTTGAGCTTTCTACGCAGAAGACAAGTTTCTCCTTTGAACCTAGTGTCACGGAGCCTTCTAATATGATAGCATCAAGGTTTAGGCTCTGTTATGTAACAATGCCATCCATTGAATAAATTGAAACATTCTTAAGAAAATCCAGTCATCATTTTGTTTTCCATGTTGTCCAGTGGCCAGGTATATGTATAACAACCTTTTTGCCTTTTGTGAGAAATGGGTGATTTTGAGTAATGTGGGAATTTTTTATTCATGCATTTGCATTTTCAGAAAGCGAGCATCTCAACAGTTGTGAACCAATAAGTAATATTTCCAAAAAAAAAAAAAAAAAAAAAACAACAAGCCTAACAGCATTTCCACATAAAATTTGCATTATCCATTTTCCATAAGCTCACTACCACCTACTACTTGTTTCCTGATATCCAATTCTTCCATTCAGCTTAAAGTATAACATAGTTCACATACTAAAGAACAGGTTAACCTAGTGACTTGGGAACTGAACCTAAAACAGATGCCTGGAGCATGGGAGGCATGGAACAGGAACAAGAGCAGGGAAAACACTCCATATAAATAAAAGTAAAAGCGATAGGCTTCTTTTGCTCACTTGAGTAATCTTCAGTCTATTGTCACATAAGTTTTCATTATTTAAGCAGGATATTCAGGTTTTCTAAACATGATATCTAAAATAACTACAAAACTGAATAAAAATAATAATTTAAATTTTGCTGCAGTATCTTAGCAATAATTGAAAAATTGCAACAATCTAACCACAAAATTTTTTTAACTACTATAGGCAGAGAAACATCATTGTGTTTTTCTTCAAATGCCAAAGGAAAAATTTTAAATATAAACTGTTCAGCCATTTGAAGGCATTTCCAGCTAAAACTACTGGCTCATAGGGATTCTGCTGATGGCTAAAAAGTTAAGAGCATAAAGAAAACACTCCTTATTTTGAGCTTGACATGCTCTAAGGTTTTAAAGCAAGCAGAAATGTTCAGCAACCACCTTCGGAGTCCAAAATTTTCATGGAATTTAATAATTGCCAAAAACAGAACGAGAACGAAACCTGAATAAGAAGAGGAACCAAATCAGGATCACTCATACTGAGGTCAATCCGCTCATCCATTCTCAGCTTCCCTCCATTAAAGCCAAACAGCCTAAAACCACAAATGATAATAAGAAGCGTACTGAAACAATAAAATTCATAATCATAGAGAGACAGAAACTTAATGAACTATAAGATCAGCATCCGTTAAGCACACTTCTCATTCTTATTCTAAGTGCAGGAAGGAGAAAGGGGAAGCTGGGGTGCGGGTGCAGGTGCTGACATCCATTCACTGTAATCATAGGGAGAACCAAACCAGGAGAAAAAACTGAGGGAAAGATTGAAGAACAGATCATGAAACCCAGTTTATTTTTACCATTTCTTTTATGGGTAAATAGTTCATTGTCTTTCTGCATGGCAAAACAATAAACCTACTGCAAGCTTACAGAATTGATCTGATGATATCAGATCGCATTTTCCACAAGGAACCAACCTTGCACATCTTCTCATAGAAGTTGAGAACCTCAAATATTATAAATTACAATATTCTGCAAGCTAAAATAAGAAATCCCACAGGACACAGTGTGATGTCTTTTTCTTGGAATCCAGCATAGAGTTGTTCCAAGTGAAGACATCATAACTTTGAAAAGACTATCAAAAACAGCATTGAAGAGCTAAAATTGGATCATCAAGTCATACTTATCCACAGCAGAGAATGGTGAAATATCTTCATCTTTTCCACTTCCTTGAAGGCGCTGTCTTACATCATCATAATTAATGACTGACTTGCAGAGACTCATATACTGCAATTGATTTAATGCCATGCGCATATCTCCATGCACCCTTTCTGCAAGCTCCTCAAGTGCAATCTGCAAGGTTATTAGCTACCAATTAGTGCCCCACCAAAATTTAATGGTAAGAAACAGGCCACTAACAACGCACATATCCCCATTGAATTAGAGGGGTCCTATAACAAAGGTGTAGGCTTGGAGGGGTATGCATTCCAGTGCAGAAGAAAAAAATATAGCAATAATATCTCTTAACTCTTTGGAGGAAGTGTAATATGGGAGCTTTTAAGGAGGTGGAGTTACTGCCATTATTTTTAAAGTTGAATTAAACCTCCTCACTTTTGGTACAGGAAGCAATTATTTTGTTGATGCGCTTTTTCTGCTACAGATTTTGTAGATTCCCTGAGATTCTTGTCTTTGCATACAGATCACATCTTCCAACCGCTTGGTGCATTTCAATTAGATTTCTTTTAAATATATATATACAAAAAACGTATAGAACTAGCTTTAGGATTTCAAACACTGGCCATTTCCATTAAGACTCCAATTCTTAGAAAGTACAACATCCAAAAAAAAGAATTTGGTGGCTTCAAGTTCCATGACAAGAGCACAATACAGATGAACTACCAGAGGACGCCCGCACCATCAATAAATAGAAAAACCAACTTAAGAAAATAAGAGTTCAAATGAGACGATCATTTACCTCATTAACTTGAAGGCCTTCTGCATTTGCAACTTGCATTAGCCTCTTTGCCATCTACAACATACCAAAATCACTGTTAATAACCTATAATTCAATTGTAATTGTCCCAAAAATGAAAATATAACCGTATAATCAACACATAGTCAAGAGTAAGGCTGTGTTTGGTATGGGGTTAAAAATTTGGAAGGGAAATGTTGAAGGGAGAAAGATTTAAAGGTGAAGTGTTAAAGGTATAAAAAGGATTAAGGGGTGAAGTTCTAAGGATGATTAACAGAAGTTGAAAATTTTATAGTAAAGGTGGGCCCCAATATAAATCAAACCAAATTATAAATTAAATAAAATACAAAAAATTAAATAATACTATATTTGTGGTGGAAAATGAGAAGCGGAAGAGAAAAATGAATAAATTAATATTTGATTTTAAAAAAGGGGAAAAACACAAAAACCAAAAATCCCCCCTCCCCCTAACAAAATATATATATATACATATATATATATTCCTTTACCCCTCCCCTTACAAGGTTAACATTTAACTCACTTTTTGGGGTCGAATATTACCCTCCTTAAAAATCTCCCCTCCCCCACAAAGTGTCCCAAACAAAAGCAAAGGGGGTGAAAAGTTACCCTTGTAATTCTCACCCCCTTTACCCCCGTACCAAACATACCCCAAGAAAAAATTATGTTCTGCTAATAGCTAAGAACATTAGGGTACACAACTTCTTGTGTCACATGGACACACAGAAGGGTGCACCATGCACAAATGCATCCACTAATTCTTGCAGTACAAAATGGAAGCATGTGATTTAGCCCAACCGTTCCCATCTCTCACTGCATTACAATACATTCCATTACATTCTACAGGAATCTTGTTACTCACTGAAAACATTTGAACAAATGAGTGGGTGCTAATATACACACAACGCACAAACATGTAAAATATGGAAAAAATGTGACTGTAGGTAATTGGAGGCACAGTGTAGTGGAAAAGAGTGTTTACTTGAACGCCTTGCACATTTTAGTTTTGTTTACCTCATTTCGTGCACTAATTGTTTCAAAAACAGAAAAAATAAAAGGGTTCAGAGCCACAAGTACTGCAGTATTGTAAATAATTTACACAGGCATTGCAAGTGCACAGAAAATCTAGACATATATGCAGTCACTCTCCACAGCTCGTTAATGTCGCTGCAGATTTTTATAAAGAACAAAGACGTTAGCCTTCAAAGAATGAATGCCCAGGTAGTATCAAATAACACAGAACTGTTTCCTAAATGCCACAAGTTTTAAATTGTATACAAATGAAAGCTTCATTAGAGTGTCAAATGGCTACTCTGATTATCCTGAAAGTGTGCATGTAATTCAGATTCCAGTCAAGAGTTCCAGCAAGGATTTCTGTACATCAATTCAGAAAACCAGCTTATGCTAAGCATACTTGAGAACAATTCGAATTTTCACTTACAGAACAGAGTTGAACAAATCAAAACTTTATTTTGGACAGGACAACTAGTGAACTGCTAGCCTCTATCTCAAACTATGAAAATGAGTTGCAGCAACTCATATTTGCTAAGCAACATTCCCCAAAGCATAACCATACAGTAGCATATGATACCAACTTTAACATCTACCATTGAATGAGAACAAGGGGCATTGTTTTTGAAAAATAATTGAAGACCTGGTGTGCAAAGTGCAGGTTTAAGCAGTGCTAGAGGCCACTTTATGTGAAAATACCATAGGTTAAGGACATCCACATCTCCACATCAACCCTCCTACAACCTTGCTTATACAGGGATAGAATGGAATATTTTATTTTTTGCACAAATGATAGTTGACTGTCGTGAAAACTTAATTGAAGTACAGATCTGCTTATAACAGAAAGTGACGGAATCTAGATACAACTCCGTTATCATGGCAAAACTGGTGCACTAGCATATAAGCTTCAACACAAAAAACAAACCAAGTCTATCCTTTAATACATTTACATTCACCAAAAAGCCAACAGGAGGAGAAAAAATAGGAAATTGAAAGGAAATGAACAAAAATTTCATAAATTGAAACCAAAAGGCAGAAAGAAACAAAAAAGAAGACCTGTTGTTTTGTAGGCTTCCGGAAACTAAGAAGCAAGCAATAGTTAACAAGACTCTTCAGCTTCTGACTATAACGGTCATTACAGATGCAGATGATAGGAACTTTGGAAATCTTTATGCTAGCAATAAGATCAGCAACTCCACCTCTATCACCAGCAGACATTCCATCTACCTCATCCATGATCAGAACTGTTTTTGGATGCTTTGACCTGCACTTGATGAGCGATTAACTTCAGTGGGAGAAAACCTAACTGCACTTTACACATTTGTTAATTAAACAGTGATAATTAATCAACCTATCCATGTTAAAACCCAGAGCTTCATTGTTGATAAGTTCCTTTATGCAATTTGCATTGCTTCCACCAATTCCTTTAAAAATCTTTGCATCTGCCTTCCCACGACTGTCACTGGCATTTACCTAATGGTACATATTAAGCAAATATGAGGAAAACAAACAATAGAAAGCTATAAGCAATGAGCCAAACTTCGATACAGACACTTCCATAGTTCAACAAATTTGTATCAAAAGTACGCCACCTCAATTGCCTGGAAACCGAGCATTTTACAGACCAGCTTTGCTGACGTTGTTTTCCCTATACCAGGTGTTCCACTCAATAGCACAGCTTTTTTAGAGCTCGAATCATTTTGTTTTTTACCCTTTCCCTTGTTTCCAGTATCAAGGAACTGCTCGTTCCAATTCTTCAACCAATTATGAAGTTGGGTAACCTGAAAAGAATCATATTGTAAAATTTTAATTCCACTCCTAAAGAATTAAATAAAGATAGTATCAATTTTCAACAGTAACAACAATATTTGAAAGAAAAAAACTAATGCACATACCAGTGATTGATTCCCTATAATCTCATTTGGAACCTTTGGCCTATATTTCTCTGTCCATGTTAGGGACAAACGATCCATAGTTTGATCCTTCTGCTTTGCTTGCTTGGCACCTGCAGCAAAACCTTTGCTGTGTACATTTGACATCACAGAGTTACCTGCACAATTAACACTTTTCACATTTAGGTTGTGTTTGGTATGGCATTGAAAATTTGAAGGGGAAATTTTAAGGGAGTAAGATTTAAAGGCAAAGTGTTAAAGGTGTAAAAAGTGTTAAGGGTGAAGTTTTAAGGATGTTTGGTGGGAGTCAAAAAAATTAAAGGTAAAAGTGGGTCCCAATATAAATCAAATCAATTATAAATTAAATAAAATTACGAAAAAGTAAATAATACTATATGTGTGGTTGAAAATGAGAAGTAGGAGAGAAAAAAGAATAAATTAATATTTGATTTAATAAAAGGAAGGAAAAACACAAAAACCAAAAATTTTCCCGCTCAAAATTCCTTTACCCTTCCCCTTATAAGGTTAACACTTAACCACTTTTTTGGGGTTAAACGTTACCCACCTTGAAAATTTCCTCTCCCCCACAAATTGTCCCAAACACAAGTAAAGGGGCTGAAAAGTTACCCTGGTAATTTTTTAACCTTCTTTACCCCCATACCAAACGTACTCTTAAAAGTAATTTAATTATTAAAACAGATGGTGAAACAATGAAACAAACTCACAACGCTAATACATTATTTTCTCACCATAAAATAAAGCCATGTTATGCATTCATATTTTTATTGAGAAATAATCTAAGGAATTAATTCTAGGCTCAATGCTGTTCAAAAATGAAATCAATAAAATATATCACTTTATTAATTGAAAAAAGAAGCTTCAGATGTGCTTGGTATCACAGCTACCATTTCATGCTTGAAAAGCAATAGAAAACAGATCTAAGAATTTGTGAGCAAATCATCCAAAACAAACTAAAATGAACATTCTAGTACTGGACACAGGCAGGACTCTTTGGCAGTGCAAATAAACAAAATATATAACTTGCAGCTGAGGACAAACTAAAAAATAATTGAACAATAAACCCACAGACACATATATTAAAGCATAAATTAAGTGTTAAAATAAGTATTACAAGCACATAGATACTGAGAGCATACTCTTTGAATCGACATTCTGAGGACTTTTCTTTGGCAGAGATGCGACAACTTTCTCCACAGACACCTTTGAATCTTCTGGTGCTGGGGCTTTTGAATTCTTTGAGGAGCGGATCATATTAAACAGTCCATCCTCGGTAAGAAAGGGCGTACTGCATGAAGAAATAAAAAAAAATAAAAATAAAAGCAATAACAAACTCGAAGAGGACTACACATAAGGATTTGAGATAACTAACCCAAGTTCTTTGGCTTTCGCAGATTTTCGTCCCTCAATATCCTCATCACATAAGAGATAACTCTGCAAACAAACATTGTTTTAGTCAATTGCCAACACTGCCACATGAATCCAACAAACAACAGGATAGAAGTATGGATGACCGTTTTCTTGCTGACAGATCCAGTAATACGACCTCCATGCCGTTTAATCAAGTCTTCTGCTTCTTCTCTTTCCAAACTGTCAACATGGTGCAAGTTCAAAATTCGGATGGTTAGATCACATGGTAAAGACACTGCAACAGACATGATCAAAGCAGCAAATAAATGCAGCATTCAAGAAAGTCTCCTAAGCATCATAACATGCGCAAAACAGAAACTATGTCAAATCTTCTTATATGTAACCAAGTAGAATACACTTATGCACAGCCAGATAAGCAAATGAAATACCTGTCAAGCGTTCCACTAATCACAAAAGTTAAACCAGCTAAACAATTAGAAGCACCTTCAGGGACTTCCTGATATGAACAATTTAGATTTGATGTTAACATGAAACATCTTACAATGGTTATAATTAATTGAATCAGACAAATCCCAGTCACGATTTACCTTTTCTCCTTTATGCGGAGGATCTTTCCTCTCACCAAAATTCATAAATCCTCCCCGTCCACCACCTCTGCCCCTTCCACCAGCTGATGCCCCAGATGCACCCCTACCACCACGACCTCTTCCACCAGACTTAAGAGGAGATTCAGTATCCTTGCCATCATCATCATCGCTTTCATTAACATCAACAGATTTTGAAGCGACTCCCCTACCTGAACCACTCTTCAATTTCTTACTAGAAGTGGCATCATTCTTCTTATTGGGCAAGGCAAAGTCATCATCTTCTTCATCATCATCAGCTTTGTGAACCTTCTTTGAAGGCCGGGGTTTCTCCGATTGGTCACCATCATTTTTAGTTTTTCTCTTTGCTGGAAGTTCCTCTGCTTCATTATCCTCTTTAGGCCTCTGTTTGTTCACCGCAAAATACTTGCTAGTTTTCCTTCTGCCTGAACCTTCTTGAACTTCATGCAACTACATATATCCAAATGAAATAAATAAACTACGTATTACCCAACTCCACTTTCTATTAAAAAGAAAAAGAAGAAAGAAGAAGCAAATTAGAAAACCAAAAAAATTCAATCTCAAAACACCGAATAACAAAGTTCTAAATACTTTCTCCAGAAAACCCAAACTAATACAACCATTCATCTCAGTCATTCTTTAATAATAATAACAATAATAATAATAATAAAGAAAATCAAGAAACCAAAACACCCTGAATAACAGAGTTCGAAATACTGTTTCCTCAACTCCCTTAAGTTCAATTCCATATACTTTTTCGCAAAGCAAAAGGGGTCTATTTGCCATCCATGTCCCCCATATTTTTTTACCCCAATCTTCGAACTTTATGCCCTAAAACCACAACATGAAACATGCATCCACTCTGAAGCAAATAGAATTGATGTACAGCCAATGAAACAAACAAACATTATAAAAAAACATATTGCAAAGTTCATACAGGTGTTTCGGTCGTTAGCTCAGCCGGAGGAGGTTTCTTCTCAGCGCTGGTAGTGGCAGGCTGCGAGGCATTGCCATTGCCTTTATCATGTGCCTTCATTAACCATTTTCTAATATCTCGTTGCTACGAAATCACCAAAAAAAAAAAAAAAAAAACCTCAATTTTCATGTAAAGAGAAACTTAACTAAACCTAATTAGTGTTATAAAAAGAAAGCCCTAACTCACCATTTTAAGACTGAAATCTGTACAAAAACCACAATGTAACTGATTGAGGCAATCTGGACAAACAAATCTAAATTAGCAAAATTTTGAATTAAATAATTCTTTTACAGTTTAAAAAAAAAAAAAGATGAAGAATTTCAAGAATCAAAAGAACAACGACTACAGTAAGAAAATAAATAGAAAAAGAAAAGCTTGGGTTTAGGGTTTATCAGTGGAAGTTGAAATTCAAATGAAAGAAAGAAACGAGATGAGACCTTCTAGGACTCTCTTTTTTAGGGAAACCAAAACGTTTCGATTCTCTGTGGTTTCGATAAAGTGCGAAACGACTGTGCTAACGGGAGGGAGGGAGAAGAGACTGAGTGTAGTGTAGGTATCAGACTATCAGTTTTGTTTCTGTTGTTCGTATTTTTGTGTGCTGTGGAAGCTAAACGATGGAGGTTAATTATGGTATGGTATGGTATGGTGCAGGTAGCTACGTGCATGTGTTTTTAGGTGGAATTTTCATACCCGTCAAGATGAAATCTAACGGTTTGAATTGATGGAATCGATTCATGATCCATGCAAAACCATTAAAACTTCGAATGACAAAATTACCCACTCTGAAAGATACAACAAATCCTGACGCAGTGGAAGCGGGTATAAGATACATTTTTCTCTTCATATAAATAGAGACGAGGGCAGAAAACATGCCTCTTCTCAATTATATAAGTATATTGTAATTGTTTTATATATATATATATATATGTCGACTATTTCTTTGAACAGTTAATACTTTCAAATAATTCAATTTTTGAGATTACTTTTCAATTATTTATATTTAACCATGTATCAAAATTACGGTAAAAAAATCAATATTTACATAGATTTAATATTTATCTTTGCATTTTATATTAATATTATATTATCAATATAGTAAAAAAAAATTACGCTTAATATCTTTTCCTATCTTTATATTATAGGTAAAGTTTTTAATCTCTTTTGGTATCCTAAAACGCTTGTATTATATCTTTATTATTTGACTTGGTTTGAATCTATATTTTCGATTAATTTTTTGATCAAATCATCTCAAAATGTCACATGACTTGTATATAACCTCTATTAAGACAAAACAATTCTTCGCAACTTAATATGTTAAGTTTTCAATTCGTTCTTATATAATTGATTGAGTTTTCAATCTATACTTAATCCTAAATAATTCATTATATTATTATTATTAATTTTTCTAATAATGTGATGCATTGATGAGTGCATAATTAACATGATTTTTATGCTCTATCACGTTAAACTCGTAATAATTATTGTATTATATTATGTTGTTTAAAAATAAGATGATGGTTTTGTGTTTTTTAGGAAAAATGATGAATTAGAACAAGAAAACCCAAAACCTAAGTACGAAAGAGAGAAATTTCAAAGAGGTTTAAAAGAATCACACGGTCGTGTGAAATAACAAAGGAAATAGCTATCGGTCGTGTCACTTAAAACAAAAAACCATGTGAATTCTCAAGCTCAATAAACTACCCAAGCGAAGCATTTCACATGGTCGAATAAGGAATCTCATATGATGTGTGGGTGATTTAACTTAACAAAACTCAAGGAAATAAGAAGCCTACATGGGTAATAGACTTTGCATACAATTTGCGGTGTAAAGTCACACCTCACGTCTCTAAGACAAAACGAGCCTACACGAGCAGAAAAGATTCAACACAGCTTGAAAAAGAAATCTATATAGGCGAAGCTTGACAACACAAAATGAAGAAAAAAGGCACACGGTCGTGCGCCTTAGTTAGCAAGCCATGTAACACTTATTTTTTAAGGCTCCAAACCATGTGATGTCAAGTAACAAACCATGTGACTTTATGCATCAAGCCGTGTAGCCATGTGGAACCGACACACATATGATGTAACCCTAGTTTTAAGTATAAATAGTAAAACGACGATATTATTTCTCTTTCCTCTTCTAACTCTTGAGTAGTCATTATTTATACCAATTCTTTACGTAATTCATTATGAATACCTAAACTCTATTCTTGGTTGAATCAAATTAAAGCTTTTAGTTAATCCTTGTGAGATTATTGGTTTTATTTCTAAATTTATTTTTATTGGGTATTTTAAGTTTTTCTACATGATTGGTTCATAGTTGTATGATTAAATTGATTGTAGTGCACAATAGTTGTTTCGTCATAGTACTTATTACTAGCTAAGGATTCAAGTCTCGTGTAATTGTTTATCTAAACTTGCTTGTTGTAGTAACTATAGGTTGATGATTATGTGGTGTTTTCATTCAATTCCTTCGAATTCAAGAGATCCATGAATTAAGATCCTAGTTCATATAGATACAAATGGTATAATGGGAGCAAGAATTTCCAAGAACATTTAGAACATTTTATTTCTAAGCAGAAGAATCGTTTTCTTTTTCAAGTAGTGTTGGATCGATTATGTATTAATTATTATTCGATTGATTGGTCTCGAGGTTATCGACAAAAAAGATTTATCTAAGTCACTTCCTTTCTTTTTGTCTAAATTACTCCTTTTTTTGTCCAAGTTTCTTCTCTTTTTGTCTAACTCGCTTCTCGTGAGTGAACATCCCCATTTATAAGTTCGAGATCCATATTTATAAGTTGAAAGGTCCGAATGATCAACTCTGCAATCAGCTGTTAGAACCAATAGGTCTTCAAATCGTTCGTTTGAAAAAATGAAAACTCTTTTTATTGGATGATCATGAACACATAACTAGGTTACATCTCCTCTAGCGCTTAGAAAGATGGCCTACCTTCACCTGTCTTTCTCATCTTAATGTTGTTATTGAATTAAATCTATCTAGCGCTTAATAGGTTGTTCAATAGCTAGGGAATTAATTAGGTGTCATATAATCGGTTAACGACTAAGTAAAAAAAGATTGGGTCGATATACATATTGTCTTACGGTGAATATTCATGTTTAAGATAAGTTAATTAGTTAATCAATGATTAGCGACCAAACTAAAAATGGATACTAAAGTTCAAACAAGACCTTTTTGATATTATTCTTTACTACTTTCTATTGTTTTCAAATATTCTAAACATACAAACCCTCTTTACACTGCAAGAACACTCAAACAATTAAAATAGTCGATTGATTCTTTTTTTCTATACGTTCGATCATTGATTGTCCCGATTATATAACCATGATCGAAAGTCGTGTAAGGATAAATATAAATTACTAATTTGTTAGCATTATGACACATCATCAAATTTTAACGTCGTTGTCGAAGATTGCGAGTTAAAGTTTATTATTTTTGGATATTTTTTATTATTCTTGTGTTTTGATTATCCGTGGTATATAATCGAGTCTCAACCGAGAAAGTCGATTTTCAATATCGAACTAGAAAGAAAACTCGAGCAAATTAAGAAAAGAAGCGAGGTTAGCTTCGATCGAGAGTATCGAGTCATCTAAAAGAGTGGTGTCATCAAGTATAACCATGGTTCTTGAGTTCTTATCATCAAGTGACTCAAAAGAAAAAGATATATATATATATATATATATAGGGTAAATAAGACATTAAAGGAGTTAGATGTTCCCGATCGTCAAGTGACTCAAAAGAAAAAGATATATATATATATATATATATATATAGGGTAAACAAGACATTAAAGGAGTTGGATGTTCCCGATCTTAATCAGTAGCCCCTATGTATTGAGTTTTCAAATCTAGAGGTGGCATTTAAGCTAAAATTAGGATTGATACAACTCGCTTTTAAAATTTTTAAGTTTAGTTGAAGGAGGCCCCTATAAACACCTTAAAGAATTTCATATGGTCAGCTCAATCATGAGGCCATAAGGAATATCGAAGGAGCGAGATCAAGTTGAGGGCATTTTCATTTTTGTTGGATGGGGATGCTAAGGATTGGTTATATGATCTCCCTATGGGATTAATTGACTCTTTGAGTGGAATAAAGCAAGCATTTTTTATGAAGCATTTTTCTCGCTTCAAGTGGTTACGAGTATAAGAAAGGAAATCGTATGATTCCACATTTTATTGAAGAAACTCTTTATGAGTATTGGGAACGAGTCAAGAAGTTGTGTTCTAATTGCTCATACCATCGATTTCTAATTAGCTATTGATTGTTTATTTCTACGAGGGTTTATTTCTAATTAGCTATTAATTGTTTATTTCTATGAGGGATTATTCCCTATAAAAAGAAGCATGATAAACGCGAAGAGTGAAGAAGCACTCGGGGCTCGATATCAACCATAGGTTAATGAGGTAAACATCTCGAGTCTAAAGTAGCAAATGTCGGACTTGACTTCTTTGATGAGACGGATGACAGGTGGTAATCTACAAGCGAGTTAAGGCTTGTAGAATTTGTTCTACTACTTGACACGTGACATATGCGTTCCTAACCTTATAAAATGGGCACATGGAACTAGTACATACGGTTAGAAACTTTAGAGGTAGCCAAAAAGGCCAAATGATCCTTACTCTAACATGTATAATCCTAGTTAAAGAGATCACCCGAAGAATAGACTAGATAAGGTGGGTGAAACTTTTATCAACGGAGGCAACAAAGATACCAACCTAGGCTTTCCAACAATAAAAACCACCACATTCTGAAAATTCTCTAGAAAAAATGGTGAAATCTCTCTCTTTAAGAACTAAACAATTTTAACAAGAGATTAAATCAAGCATTTAGAATGCGAAGAATCAAATAAGTCAACTAACGACTATTGTAAGTCATCTAGACACTCAAGATGGATGAAAATTACCATCCCAAATAGGTGATAAATTCCAAGAAGAATATGAGTACAATGACCTTGATAAGTGATACTCGAATAGAACAACTAAGCGAGGAGGATTTCGAATTGTCAAAAGAAGAAAGAGGAGAGGTGGAGGAAGAGAAAGAAAGCACAACCATTAATAGGGATAGAACAAGTCCTAAGGTAATTCCTGATCCTTTTACTCCATTTTTAACTAACCATGCGTCATTTCCTAGTAGGTTAGAGAAGCCTAAAAAGAAGAGTTGAAGAAGAAAAAGAGAGATTTTTGAGCTATTAAGCAAAATAGAGGTGAACATACTTTTATTAAAGGTCATAAAGTAAGTGTCTCGATATGTTAAGTTCTTGAAGAACTTATGCACCAATAAGAAGAAGCTAAACATAAACGAAAAGATAAGAATGAAAGAGAATGTTTTTGTAGTTTTGTAATGAAAAATCCCTCCCAAATGCGTAGATTCGATATGTTCACTATACCATGTCAAATCAATAGTATGATAATAAACAAGGCCATGTTGGATTTAGAAGCATCAATTATTGTAATGCCATATTATATATATATGGTGTATTAAATCTAGTGCCTTTGAAAAATACAAAAATGAACATACAACTAGTTGATCGTACTAATGCCTATCCGGAAGGGGTATTGGACAACGTTCTTATATAGGTGAACCAATTTATGTTCCTAGTGGATTTCTACATCTTGAAGATGGATGAAGAATGTCCCTATAATCCAAGCACCTCTCTTGTTAAAGAGGTCATTCCTAAAGACGGTAAGAACAAACATAAACATCCACGAGAAAGCTTTCACCATAGAGTTTGATGATAAGGTGATTCGGTTCAATATCCTTAATAAGGATAATGCTAAGATACAAGGAAGCTCAAATCGAGCTTGACAATAAAAGACCCCTTTGATGGGGAAAGGTAAAGTTAAGCCAACGATGTTAAATAAAAATGTTTATTGGGAGGCAACCTAGTGATTCTTATAAATTTTATGCTTTGATTTAAATTTTAAGTTAGTTATTTGATTTTGTATTTAATTTTCATCTACACTTGACTTGATTGAAAAGACGAGCAACATAGGTACTAGAGTGTGTGGATTTTACTGAATTTCCAAAGAACAAAGAATAAACACATGAGTAGTGGCAAAAGATATGGTTTAAAGAAGAAAGTCACACTTTTATTATTGGAAAATGGCTAAAAATTGAAACTAGAGAGAAAAGGCAACAAGAGCGATAGTCATACACATGATTGATAGAAGAAAAAGTTACGTCCGTGTGCCTCGAAGATGAATGAAAATTGACAAAAGGAGAAAAAAGACATAGATAGTAGCATTTTACATGGTTTGCACAACTAAAGGCACGTAGGCTTGTGACTCAATCGAGACAATTCAAATTCTAAAGGAGAAAAGACACACAAGCGTAATGGTTAGCACACGGTTTGTGTAGTAATCTTACATGGTCATTTGAGTTAAATGAAGTTTTTTAAATTCTAGGATATATGAGCATAATGGTTTTTACACGGTTTGTAGTAGGATTTCCATAAAAAATTACACTCGATTGGGGAGAAAAAAGAGGATACGAATAGAAGAAAAGACACATGGTTTACACATAAATGTTACACAAACTTATCTCCTGCTAAACCAAAAGTCACATTATTTTCCCTCTAAAAAACCTACCCCTATATAAGTAAAAACTTTAAACCATGTAACTTGATCTTTCGTAAATATCACATTGTGTCGTCAACCTCTTCTTCTCCATTCTTTCTCATATTTCGGATCTATAAATCTCTCACATAACTAGCCATTAAACGACTATTACAAATCATATCTCTATAAATCAACACCCACACTCCATCATAACCTACCAAAGAACCTCCTCGCACCATCCAACTAAAGAACCCTCACCTTTTATTCGACCAAAGCCATCATAAAAACAATAATATCTACTTTAAAAGATAAGAGAAAGTAAATAGTGAACAACAAGGAAAAAATACTCATCGAAAGGAACCAATCGTAAGGGAAGGCTACCTTTCCAAATCTTACCCAACAATAGAGTTCGAACATGAAGAGTAAGAAACCCACTATAATGTTTTAAAGGATAGAAAAGTGATAACAAATAAGTACATGGATGTCCAAGCTCTAGACATAAATCATCTAAGTGCTTGCTTTGGCATCATCATACCAATATGTCTTACTCGCTATCGTATAGTATAAGCATAGCATTCACAAGTTTAATCATATATAATCAATGTCTATTCTTGATAATGCTTATGGCTTGAGACATTTAATGATATCATTTATATGCATTAGTATTTGTCTCAAATCTTTCAATCAATCACTAATACAAATGGATATTATATGGATTTTTATCTAATTATATTCAATCAATAAATATGAATGACAAGAATTAATAAAAAGATTTCTTTTATTATAAATAATATAAATAATGTAATAACTCAAATTCATCCAAACATGGTTGGATCTTGGGCAACTACACTAACATTGAACTTTCTAGTAATTATTATATTACATTATGTTGTTTAAGAATAAGGTGACAGTTTCACGTTTTGTAGGGAAAATGACGAATCGAAGCAAGGAAACCCAAAACCTAAATAAGAAAGAGAAAAATTTCGACGAGGCTTAAAAGAATCACACGGTCATACGAAATAATAAATGAAATAGCTACCGACCGTATGACTCAAAGGAAGAAATCGTGTGAATTCTTAAGCACAACAAACCACATGGCCGAAGAAGGAATCTCACACGTCCATATGGGTGATTCAACCTACCAAAACTCAATGAAAAAAGAAAACTACATGGGTAGTAGACTTTACACACAATTTGTAGTGTAAAGTCACATGCTCGTGTTTCTAAGGCAAAGCTTCTACACGGGTAGAAAAGATTCAACACGATTTGAAGAAAAACTCTACACGAGTAGAAGCTTGACAATACGAAATGAAAAACAAAGGCACTCGACTGTGTGCCTTAGTTAGCAAACAATGTAATACTTATTTTTGAATGCTCCAAACCATGCGATATCAATGTGACTTTATGTATGAAGCTAACACATACGTGATATAATCATAGTTTTAGGCATAAATAGCAAAGCTAGGGTATTATTTATCTCTTCTCTTCCAACTCTTGAACAATCACCATTCATAGCAATTCTCTTTGTAATTCATTATGAATAACTAAACTTCATTCTTGGTTGAATCAAGTTAAAGCTTTTGGTTAATAGTTATGAGATTACCGATTTTATTTCTAAACTTATCTTTATTGGATATTTTATATTCTTTTGCATGATTGATTCATAATTATATGATTAAATTGATTAGCGTACACGCTAGTTATTTAGTTATATTACTTATTGCTAGCTAAGTATCCAAGCTTATGTAACTACTTGTTTAAACTTATATATGGTAGTAACTAGGAGTTGATGATTAAGTGGTGTTTTCGTTCAATTACTTAGAAAATATAAAACTAGATTACATCTTCTCTAACAATTAGGAATGTGGCTTAGTAAGTTGTTCAATAGCTAAAGAATTAATTAGGTATTGTATATTTAGTTGACGACTAAGTAAGGAAAGACTAGGATCGACATTCATATTGTTGTCTTACGGTGAATATTTTTGTTTAGGATAAGTTAATTATTTAATCAATGATCGACGATCAACAAAAGTGGGTACTCAAGTTTAACCAAAGCCTTTTTAATATTGTTATTCTTTACTACTTTCTATTATTTTCAAACATTTCAAACACACAAACCTCCCTTTACACTACAAGAACATGCATACAACCAAAACAATCGATTGATTCCCTCTTTCTATGGGTTCGATCATTTTTTGCCCCGATTACATAACCATGATTGAAACTTCTATAAGGACAAAAATAAATTACTAATTCACTTGGTTGTACGACATATGATCATGCACTATAATGACTTTTTTGTTAATTAAAAATACATAAAAAATAATTAGTACACGTTAGTATGCAATTGTTTAAAGAATTTTCGTTTAACATATTTTTAATGATAAAGAGTGATTGTATTATTGTCAATATAATAATTTACTTATGTATAATATAGAAAAAGTAGATATAATGTTTACCAATATATGAAATCATCTCTACTAAAAAAAAAATTGAGAATTGCATGCAAAAAATAAATAATTATAATTTAAATAATTGTTAATTAGTCTCTTAAACTGGTAATTAAAAAATAAATAATTACATCTAAATAATTGTTAATTAGTCTCCTAAATATGCAATTAAAAACAAATAATTATTTTTAATTGGTCTTTTAAACATGTAATTAAAAAATAAATAATTATATTTAAGTAATTATTAATTAGTCTCCTAAGTATGTAATTAAAAAACAAATAATTATTGTTAATTAGTCTCTTAAGCATGTTGTCACGATCCTCGAAGTGGGCCATGAAGATACAAGAATCGAGGGAGTCGTGAGACCCACCTCAACTCAAGTAA